GAGAACAACAAAAGTCAGAAGTAAAAAACTCACCGAACATCACGTTTCACCATTAATTTTCCAAAGTAAAAAGTTCCACAAACAAAATACCTAACTGGATTTACTAACGCTTTGTTTTATAGTGAATAAACTGTTTATACTGTATGGTGAGAAAATCAATTGTTTTTTCACTGATTTCACTAAATACTGCAACCCGAACCGGCATAATTCACAGATTTTCCAAAACAATTAATCCAAATACATAATCATCCAACACTATTTAATGAATGTGGAATTTTCCACTATGACAATCCAAGCAGTCACTAGAACAAAAGTCTGGTGGCGCTATCGACGAGCCTAAGTACGGAGAGCTTTCGAAGTGGTAGAAATGAAAAGAGATAATTTGCGAAATTAGTTTAAATTAATAAATAAAAAAGAAATTGAACGAACTATAGAAAAATATGATAATTTTTAGATTAATAATTTTTGGTATCCTAAGTCTACGAACCATTTAAAATAAGATTGTGACTATGAAATAGTTTGTCAGGGGGTCTGAGGGTTACTTACGGGGTGCATAAACCACCAATACTACAATTACCTTTTTCTAATCTTGTATTACAAGAACATTGTGTTAATTATGTATTTAATAGTTCGTAGGGGCTGATTTCTGAAATTAACGAGTCAATGTTGAAAGCACTCCATTGTTTTAAGTCTTTATGATTATCGGGAGGGTTGTTGTTTACTTTTAATATTTTTTTAATGCAAAATGCTCCTTTTGTCGTTAAGAATAATGTACCTTATTTCGAGCGTCATTTTCTGTCTTCTATTTTCCGAATACTTGCTCTCTTTAACAACGGTATGCTTGAACTGTCGACCGTGAGAAGTCATTTTCCTAGTTTTAATATAAATGGAAATTGGAAATTTGTTTTGAAGATTAATTCCTGATCTTTGAATAAATTAAACTTTTTTGAACTTGTATTACAAGGAGAAAATGTTTGCTTCTCCATTCTGTAAAATGTGGTATCTAATTTAGGATAATAAAAACTTAAATAAAACTGAAAGCCGTTTCATTGCCTTTAAACTATATAATCATCGAGGTGATTGTGATCTACTTTTTAATATTTTTTAAATAACAAAGGCTCCATTTGTCGTTTAGATTAGTAGAGCTTATTTTAATCGTAATTGTGCATCTGTTAATATCCGAATACTTGCCCTATTTAATAGTTCTACCCAGTAATTAAAAATTTGTCTAGAATATTAATGCCTTTTTGTACGTCATAACCCATGAGACCGTTTGTCAGNTGCATTTTCTTTGTATGATACTGCCATATAAGAAAACTATAATTTTGATTTGACCAAAAATAATATATTTATTATAACTAATTTTTATTGCTGTGTACATCAAAACGAAAGAAATATTTTGTTCTCGACCTACCGACCGTTGGAGCATTCAAGCAGTCGATGTTAGAGAGAGCAAGTATTCGGATAATAAAGGACAGAAATGCGCTAGGAAAAACTCTAATTTATTAAAATATTTAAATGACAAATATAAACTATGATCATCTGGAATATTACAGCTTTCAGTCAATTAATATAATTTTCAAACTAAGTTAATAAAGCTATTGTTTCCGTTCACAAACTGCAAACACACCACAATTATGTATACGTGTAAAAGTTTACAAAATAAGTTTCCAATTTGCTTTGAGTTGAACCATTAAGACATTAATACAAAGAGCAATATGAAAAACAAAAGGTTAGAAACCTTTGAGATATCGTGTCATAGGAGGAAGTTTAAAAGTAACATGGACAGAAAGGGTTAGAAGTATATAAAATACAAAAATACACTCACTAAAGACCCAAAATATTTTTAAATGAAAACGACACTTGATTATATTTACATAAATAATAATATGTAATTATCATCTGGATATGTACCGCTTTTAAACAAAGAAAGAATTTACAAACCCCTTCAGTATTAAAAGTTTGCAAAAATAATTTTCAATATATGTTATAACTATTTATTACTGCACACAAGTTATAAACTCTTCGTGATTATCCTTCAACACGAAGAATTTTGTTCGAAAGGTTCGAACGTTCCTATACAATGATTTAAAACAATATAAAATAAGAACCACAATAATAGTCCCACATACCACTAACTCACGGTTATCTTAAGGGATTTGTAGAAGGAATTAATTAATTAATACTAATTTTTAAAACAAATCTGCAATTGTTATCTATATTATATATTTGTTTTGGCTTTATTTGTTTTAAAGATTAACTCCTGATCTTTGAATAAAGTAAACTTTTTTGATCTTGTATTACAAGGAGAATATGTTTGCTTCTCCATTCTGTAATAAGTGGGATCTAATTTCGAAAAATAACGACTCANATCTTAAGGGATTTGTAGAAGGAATTAATTAATTAATACTAATTTTTAAAACAAATCTGCAATTGTTATCTATATTATATATTTGTTTTGGCTTTTGAAGTTTTATTCAAATATTAAAAATAGCCCTTGCTCGTATAGGAAAAATAAATATATAATTTTCCAAACAATTAAAGAATTTTCGGACTAAATTCGGCAATTTTAGATGTTACTTGGTCCTTATTTACAAGATGTAGGCACATGTGACTAAATAAAACTCACACTTTCTCTATACTGGAATAAGTATAAAAACATTGCTTACTTTTAGAAAATGTTGATTACCCATTTATCCAAAGCTTCAAAAATCCGAGGCAGATTGTCTAAAGGAGTCCTATATCACACGCAAAGTCCTTTTCAACTAATTGTCCTTTAAATCATCGACCTTTAAAGAATTACAGAACAAAAAGCACTGCATTTAATCCGCGGCTGCAATTTTATTTAGTGTATTGTTTTACAAAAATTACGTAAGGATTAAATGGCCGAACTGTTCTGAACTGAAATAATTTTATTAAGCTTGGGGCATTTGTTACATGTGACTCACATTTCGCGATATCTCTAATCGTTGTTTCAACTTTCAAGGCAAAATTATTAATCATTAACAAGTCGAGGAAGGTCAAATGCTTTTAAAAATTATTTAGTATTTTACGAGGTTTGTTTAAAACATATTTTCACGAATGGCAGTTTGTGTGCAACTTTTTTTGCTTGGACAAACGATCAAATTTTAACACTAATTCGTTGATGGTCATTGTGGAAAATTTTAGTAATAGAGTGATGAATTTTCATTTTTAAATTATGTTTCTGCCACGTAGACTCAGTTAGGGATGGTAATTTTATATACACTTTTTGTAATTAATCTACAATTTGTTATATGATATAGATGTAGACAACTTGACATACAGCAAAATTACAACTCCAGTAATGTAACTAGAAAGAAAACTATACAACGATTTTTCCCACAGAAAACACTATTAGTTACTAATTAAAGGTGTTTCGTTTAATTTTTATTGTACGCTTTCGATTTCAAGTCGAATGTAAGACAGTCATGAAGATACACGCATATTATTATTAATTATAAAAAATATTGTTGAAAATTTTGGTGGATACTCATCTTTAAATAATGTTTCTTCCATGTAGACTCAATCAGGGATGCTAATTTTGTATTTTTCTTTTTGTAATTAAACTACAATTTGTTACATGATATATAGACAACTTGACATACACCAAATATTACAGTTCCAGTAATGTAGCTACAAAGAAAACTAGAATATGATTTTTCCCACAGAAATAACTTTTCACCTTAAACTGGAAGATATTATCGAACAAAATACAAAATATTACGTGAAAATAGCTAATTAATTAGTAGTACTTTTAATTATATCTCCTTGTAATATTTGGTTGAAGTTTCACACATTTGTATTTCAAGCTGCGGAAGCAGTATTAGTTACTAATTAAAGATGTTTCGTTAATTTGTATTGTAAACTTTCGATTTCAAGTCGAATGTAAGACAGTCATGAAGATACACACACATTATTACTAAATATTATTAAAAGTATATTGTTGAAAATTTTGGTGGAGCCGCCGGGGCAATTTAAAATGAAGGCTTTAATTGACCTATAATTTTGGTTTCATTGAAATAGATAGATGAATACTCATCTTTAAATAATGTTTCTTCCATGTAGACTCAGTTAGGGATGCTAATTTTGTATATTTTTCAATTAATCTACAATTTGTTATATGGTACACATATAGACAACTTAACATACATCAAATATCACAACTGCAGTAATGTAACTACAAAGAAAACTAGAACAAGATTTTTCACACAAAAATGACTTTTTAACTCTAACTGAATACTATTCTCAAACAAACTACAAAATATTAGGTGACATTTTCTAACATTAAATTACTAAATCTGCATAACTTACTAAAACTATCATTTTTTAGAATACGCTATGACGTTTAATTAAACAAATACTTTGTATTTTTCATTATTCTCTGTCCCTTTCTCAGATACTTAACTGTCGAAGAATTTTACTATTCTTCATCTTAATCCTATTATTCATTAATCTGCTTCTAAAGCAAATCATGTCAATTTGCTCATCAAATGAAATAATGCTGTTTAAATTGCATACAGGAACTAAAGGGGTTTATGTTACTTACCTTTTTGTAGGGTTGCCATCTGATGGTCGTCTCATAAAATCGAGCTTCCAGCCCAATGGTGTAGATCTCTCCGAACAAACGAATTCTGCACGAAACAAAATCTGAATAGAAATCTACATTAATTTAAATTTTTTCGTATAAATACAGCGCAAATAACGCATTTACGCACTATTGAGATGTCCTACGAAGCAAGTGGTCGGATTTGAGATATTTATCAATGTTTTTCTAAAACTAAATCCCCTACAACCACCTTATTTCGTAGAACGACAGTATTTCAATAAATATTTTATTCTGTAGTAAATTAATTGTCCTTTAAGTGTTAATCTTTTAATTCTGCGTGAAGAGTACGTTTCGCTTTCTTTATGCAGAAAGTGTTGTAATGATTTTATTATTATTTGATATTTGGTGAACGATTAATTAACATGTTAATTTACATGTTTAAGAGGTTCTTTATTTGGTTGAAGTACAAACACATGTTTACTAACATATTAAGTCATAAAACGACTCAATTTTACACGAATTAAATATTAATATTGTAGAAATAATCGTATATTACAAAAAAAGATAAGCAAAAAATTACGTAATATTTAATTCTAAAAGGGAATCCGAGATCATCAGCCTTTAATTCTTTTCCTATAATACACTATTCAGTTAAACATAAACTATACTCTAGTATTCTATTTACACACTACAAATAATTACTGGCTTTGATGCATTTTTTTCTCGTTAATTAAGTAAGATTCTCTTATGACATGACTAGTTTATATACTTTATACGTTAAACATAATTTGTACATGACAACGATGATTTATCAGAAAAAATACACAATAACTAAGAAATTATTTACAATAACCCATTGTTCACAAGAATAAAAATAAAATAGTAACTAAAACAATAAATTCATTAAAAAAAACAAAAATAATGCTAATAACCGGTTGCAAACTTACGATTTTGTGGTTTTGACTATTTCTAAATTATCTCCTTTTATAGAAAAGTTTCAAAACTATCGATCTGCACTTCATTAACAATCACGTATTGTTATACCATCGTAACATTTCTTCGTTTCTTTTCGCCACTGTTTACAGAACTCAAAGATCCTTGCAAGCTCGTGTTATAATTTCCCTGTGCATCATTTCTTTGCATTGTTTGGTATATCGGTTGATTATTCGGATGGGCCATCATTTGCGGCGTTTGTTGGACGCCGTAGATGTTATAGTTCACCGGATACCCGTTGGCACTGTAAGCGGGGAGAGGCGGCACCGGGGGTGCGTGTCCAGGAATGTAGTGTTCAGGAACAGGGTTAGAAATGTGATGTCCACTATGATCAATAGTTTGTCCACCTATGGACATATGGTCCACTTGAGAGCCATTCATCATCATATCCTGATGGGCGGACATCATTTGGTCTTCAGGAATCATGTTATCCAAAGGACTATGTCTCCTTTCGTGCTCGTGGAGCAGTTGGGAAGCACTCCAGGAGTTGTATGGGCTTAAAGTGTGACCACCATTACGTTGCAACGAATTATTCGAAATCACGCTAACACCACCATAGTTATTATTAGCGCTGATCAATTGATCATGTTGCTGTTGATTGAAATGTTGCTGTTTCAATTCCTCTATCAATTGTTGCTCTTGTTGGTGAACCAACGAGTATCTTTTCTTTGTGTCGTCCTCGTACGTGTAATCATTGATAGGAACTCCAACGGTATGAGGATTAGGAACATCAACGATATTGGTGTAAGCTTGTGAAGTATTTGATTGAGGCGAATGAGAAGGTGTTCCAGGAACTATGGTCACGGCAGAATTGAGCTTATCAGTTTTGAGACCGTTAGAATGTTTAGCACTCTTCTTGTGGTTATCACGAACCCTCTTCTTGATTATACAGAAGTAGCAGTACAAAGCCACTATTATCGCCAAGATCAAAATACCAATGACTACCGGCAAAACGATTTCAAGTCCGAATGGCATGGCTTTGTTCATGGTAGGAGTGATTGGGTCGATTCCTACAGAGCTAATGTGATTATGTGGCCATGAAGAGTGGTCGCTGGTCGGAAATGTTGGCGGAACGGTCGGAGGTGGAGGCGGAGAAGGAACTAGAAGTCTAACCCAATTTGATGGTTCCGTTGCTTGAGAATCAGAATAAAGTTGTGGATAAGCTCTAACGGCGAAGTAAAGGGGTTGATCGAGCAAATGCCTCTCCTTGGTCATATCAACAGTAACTGTTGTTTCCGAACCGGGTGCTAGCGAATGTGGATTGGCATGTTCCCATATGGTGGCGAGTGTGTCGTATTCGTCCACAATGTCCTTAAGAGATTTGGCATACTTGATTTCGTATCTGGCTACTTTATTACCACCCATATCCGGTGAAGTCCAACTCAGATGAGCCTTCATATCTTCAGGTTTTACTTGAACTCTGAGATCTCCGATGCGACCAACTGCAATTTGTCCTGCCTTCAAAATATCCTCAGAAGTTATGACCATGGTTACTGGTGGCAAACTTCTTTGGAATGGAGACAATGTTTGTACACTAGATGTTGGAACAACGCTTCCGCAGCAAGGCTTGTCTTCTGAAAAAAAAACAACAATTTAGGAAAAGCAAATGTGATATTGTTGATTCAACATACCACCAATTTTTGATGAATACATCCATGTGTACGCTGTATTTCCATTATCAGTAATTGTAACCTCAAAGGTGTAAGTTCCAGGACCTCCCGGTGCTGCACTGAAGTACCTCGAATAAATTCCATCGCCTTTAGTAATATCAGGATCACCGTTTCCTCTGTCTAACAATTCCAATGTGCCAGAGTATGGCATGGTGGTGTTTCTGTCGTCTTTCGTGAATACGGCTTCTACCTTGGCACTGAGAACTGGGAAATTTCCCCTTTTCACTTCAGCAAATAGAATGAGAGGTCCATTGGGTTGGTTTCTGTGAACCCAAAACTTTGCTCGGACCACGGGAACGGTTCTCGATTTTGGGGTTGCCATGACTTGGATGAAATGGGGTTGTGGGTTTCCAGAGTACCTTTCAACTGTATACGTCCACGTGCCAGGCTGAAAATAAATATATAAGAATTAAAACATGGTCAGACTACAAAAAAGAAACCAAATTTACCTCACTAATATTGGCAACGAGGGTAATAATCTTCACACCCAACATACTTTCGCTTCTAACAGTGAACTCTTGATGACTGGGACTGATGAGAGTTAGGCCATGTATCAACGGAGACTCGGCATTATGTGTGTATAGCATAAATTTAGCTGGCTCGCTCATATTTTCTTCCAAAACAAAACTACCCGTTATGGAGGATCTTCCGTCGTCACTCAGTTTTCGTCGGTGGATTTCCATTGGTAAATCGGAGGGGTTCCCAGAATAGAATCTTTCAGTTATGCTGTAAAAGACGTTTGTCAACTGGAAGTAAGTCGTCAACAAGCTCGTTTCGATATTATTTTTCGCTTCTGTCACGGTGAAGGCAGCTCCGTCAGTGGCAATTGCTAGGAAGTCGAGAGGTTGCGAACGAAAAATGTACGGATAATTAACGGTAGCGATTTTTATTTTTAATTTCTTCGCATCCTCAATAGCCATGTCGAGTTCTTTCGTTTGGTCCAAACCGGGAGCAATCAAGATTATAACATTTCTCGCTGCACTTCGATATTTGTTCGCCTCGTTCAGAACCCCTACAGCGATCCTGAGAGCGCAGTGTAAACAAGCTGGCTGAATGGAATCTCCTGGAGTGTAAGGAATGTTAGAAGAGAGGACGTCCCGATTGCCCGAGTTCTTCAACGTAACAATCTTTCCCAGTTTTGTAGCACCAGTTTCATTTGCTAACAACACCCCCACTTCGGTGTTCTCAGGAAGATCGAACCATGCCCACTTCCTTATTGCAACTCTCAAGTAGTTCCACGATTCCCGTTGGAGCATGTCTTTGGTGTTCTCGATTATCACCATGTAACGTGTAATATTTTGTCTAACGTATGACATTTTTGGGGTGGTGTTCGTTATATCACTGGACGCTGGAATGCGACTACCAGCAAAATCACGATGACTCATGATGACTTCGTAAGTGTTTCGTCTGTTGCAAATTTGATTGTGTTTCGTTGGTGCATAACGATCATGATTGCCTTCGTCGCAAAACATGGTCACCGATGGAGCTTCTGCTGCGAACATGATCGAACTTCTGGAGTCTTTCTCGACCATTTCGGTAACGTTGTATTTGGCACTTGGATTTTCACATATTCTGAAAGCAAAAAAAATTCATAAAATCCGAGAAGAAGATATGCGAATCGTTCTCAGGAAGATTCCAGGATTAGACATACCCAGTGTTTTTAATGGGATAATCAGAGCATCCGGTGATTCTACTTTCCCTGGTTTGGTCATCATAGAAACAGGTTGGGTACACGGGGTCATTATAATAGCCTTGTTCCTCGAAGACGCCATACCGATACTTGGCGAACTCCTTAACCAAAGTACGTCCCAAGGAGTCGTCCCTTCCAAGAAGACTTTCATATCCGAAATAAATTTGATCTCCAGGTTGCCCGCACCCCGCCGACTGCTGAGTCCAAATACGTCCTCGAGTCGGTTCCCGTGGCAAAATCGTAACATCCGGAGTTTCACCAGAACCGGAAACGACAGGTTTGGGTGCACAGGAGTCCGGCCACGACGAAGGAAGCACAACAGTTGCCGACCGCAGGAACGCACGACCATCAAGAGCAGTGAACAGGTAGTGGGAGGCGCTTGATATCGTGTTCTGAAATTAATATCGAAAGGTTAATGGAGTGTCTAAAGGAATCGCCACTTGCGTAAACGGTTTTGCAATATTCAAAGAGGAAAGAAAACCTTTAGAGAAACTGAACATTCGCATCATTCTGGTTTTATCCGATCGGAACCACAAGGAATTCATTCTAAATCATTTAAATTAATTTGGAGCTATTCGTTTAAAAGCAGTCCTCGAAATTAAACTGAAAAGGAATGCCTTGTCACGTACCAACTCTATTAGCTGGCAGAATGAGACGGTCGTGACGAGTTATCTGCCCGTTCAATGTATATGTATTTCACATTGTCCCTTTCACAATTAAATTGCCCGTAAATGCTCTTCGCATTTACATTGGAAAGGAATAAATAGACTACCCCTACAGAACGAGTCTTAATATTCAAATGCATGTAGCTACAGACTGCATCACATCAAATGAAACGCTAAAGGGTTAACGGTCCAACCTCTTCATTTATTTGGATTAACATAATTCTGATTTAAAATTGCTTCACGTAGTTTCTTAATAATAACTCGAACACTGTTTCAATATTAATTAAAAAGGATGCCCATTCGGTTCGTCAGGACTATTTGGACGAGCTGTATACTTCCTTTATGTTCAAATTCTAGAACTGTTTTATATGTATAATTGTGAGTCAAGTTGAAAGGGCCGTTTCGGGTTAGACTCACTTCAATTTGCGATAAGGCGAGTTAATTAAATTCCTTAATGGACAATGAGCGATTTAGGGATTTTCTTTTAATGCGACCGGTATTCACGGTTCAACCAAGTGAAGACCTTATCTCAGGCATTTGATTAAAACTTTAATTAAGCCCCCATTTCTTCCCCTAGCCACTACTACCAAGAAGAAGAAAAATAGAGAAATATGAGTAGACATGGCTCGTGAATATTAAACAAGGATTATCACGAAATGTCATAGTTTCATTATGCGCTTGTCCATTACAGATAAAACTGAACTGATTTCATTTATTCACCCCTTGTTCTAGTTTCATTCATTTACATCTCTTTTAGTGATTGCTCCTTTTTGTGCAAGGGTTATTAATATTATATAGAGTGTAAAGTTATGTAGGCATTTAAACAAAAAGGGTCTCGAGTAAAAAAATTAAGGATCCTTAATTATCAGCCCTTAACCTCACACTTCATAGAAGGTTTTTCTACGGTGCCATTTTCAAGCTTCTAAAGGCAGTCAACAAACTATTGCTACTTTACCAACTTTTGGATTAGGTACATTAACTAAGGCGTGTTTATAAAATTTAACTACTTATGTATTACTGCTCATTTATAGTACAAGGAGATATAATATTAATAACCTTGGTTTGTTTACGATTGTTTCTATTGAAACAAATACCATCCTAAACGTTTAACAATAAACAAGGAAATGTAAAACGTAATTAAAAAAAAGCAGGTGAACATCACGATATGATGACATCAGCAATGTTTTGCTCTTTCAATTCGATTAACTTGTTTATTTCACGATATGTCAACAATCTTTTCACGATTTTTAATTTTATTTTACACAATTGAAGGATTTCAAGTCCAAACAACATTAATTATAACAAAATTAAGCATTGCAGAACACTTTATATTGCTTATTTAGCAACTTATACCTATTTTCAAGTTTAATTGCTTGCTCATATGTAAGTATAAGTTTACTCAGCGGATTGCAAAACAATTTTTGTAATATAATAAGCGGATTTCGTGAAAGCGTATGCGTCTGTGGAAAATATAGTTTAATGGAAGAAAATGGAGCAGAAGTCATAAGCACGAAACAAAAATTGATCATGGTACAAAAAATACGTAAAACTTTTCTATAGAAGCTTTATAGAAACTTATTACATAACAAATATATTTAGGTTTCGACATTTCTATCAAAATTAATTAATAAAATTANATGTATTGCATGTCTGTAATAGCAAACCATTCAATCTTTTTTGATTTGCTATGATTGCAAACCATTTTCCAACACTTATAATAAACCTTATATTTGTAAAGAATTAATTCCAATTCTGATGCTCATAATATGAAATATCAATTACGAAATCTAAAGAAAATATTACATTGCTAAAGAAATTCTTTCAACTTGACATAAACCATTCGTTATAAAACTAAAGACCACAACATCGTTTGTTTATTTAAGACAAAGATCGTAAAATGCCACGGAAGAAGAATATTTTATTATCATTGCTTTAATTACTGTTAGGCGACCAGTTATCATCCATTTCGAGGAATCTGGGTTATTTTTATGTTCTTCTTCACTCTTGGATCAGTAAACAACAAAAGCGTAGACGTATTTGTTGCAACTTAACAAATTAAATAACAATTTACGACAGTATAATGGCTACGCTGTTATCGCAAACGACGTTGATAATTGCTAACGTTATCACTCATTGATCATTATTCAAGCTTAAGTATTTTCTCAAAAAATTAACAAAGAAAGCAGCGCATTCTCTTTTGTAAATTTGTATGTTGGTTTATTAATATTTATTAACAATGAAACTACTAGTAAATATTTAGAATACATGTATGTATGTGTTAAGTTTAGGAAATTGCTAATAAAAAGGTTATCTACCACTATGGCTTCAAAACTACTAGAAATAAAACGCAGGTTTGAATTAAATTAAATTGTAATCAATAAATGTTATATACAGGACTGTTTGCAACAATTCTATTAAATAAAACCAAAAAGACAAAAAACTTCTTATTAAAACTTCATCGTGATCAGTAGGAATCTCAGATTCCGTTGTAACAACAATCATGGCCGAAACAAAACCATGTGGATGACAATAACCTAAAACTATTAGATATAAACAAACTGTAACAAATAAGTTAACGTAATAAATGAAACAAGTGCCTACCCTGAATGCCAAATGATTTATCTGCATTTGACACCACCGGCACATTTTTGGGTATATTTGAACTACTCAACTTACGAGGAAGGTGATTTTGAATCATGGCGTCACGAAAACCTTTGCTGGTTGAAATTATTCATCTATTTTCATTTACATTCAAGTCAACAAGCATAAAACCGACCATCAATTAGATGATCTTCATCCAGAATATTTATCATTACTGTCATTGGGATAAAAAGTAAAAATATGGTTTTAAATACTCAGTATTGGTAACCTTGAGACATAAAGATTCAGGTATCAAACAGATTCACACATAAATATGCTCTTTGCACTATATTGGACCAGAAAACATGAATCGTTCCTTCTTTCATTTCATTCCCACGTCTTTGAATAGAATGGGAAATCTTCGACAACAGAGTGTAGTAAATCGCACTCCGACAAAATTCTGTTGTTGTGCTCTACCTGTTCACACATGAACAGGTGCTAACTGATGAAGTAGTAGGCTTAGTAGTTCGCTGAAAGCGATTACACTCACTTGCCTAGCAATATAAATGAATATAACCATTTAGTTCATTGTTTCTCACGGTACGCGAAACTCAAATACGACCTACAAGACATTTTAAAGATGGATTTAATTAACTTAACGTACATTTGAAATTTCTACGAAGTAGTACAAATAGTACGACTTTGTTAAGCTTCGAATGAATTTAGTACCCACCCACTGTTCTTATACGTACTTTGAGATTAGCTTAAATCATTCATCTTAATCATAGCATTGAAACAACACTCCGATATTTATGGATCGCTAAATCTGGAGCTACTTATTCCTTGATTAATTATGAACTTCCATTTTATGATTAGAGGGCTGCTAGGATTTCGTTCCGTACTACTCACGATAAACTTCCACAAATTGCAGTGGTTTTGTCGAGACCCAAACAAGAAACTTGGTAGACAGCAGTCTGATATTAGAGAGGAACAAAGCGTTCCAAATTGTCTAATAGTTTTACTCCCAATATCACCTTCGAAAATGCTGTTATTTCGATAGATGGAAGTGCAAATTTGTAATGCAAATTTTACAGCTCCTAATCGCCTAATTAGGAGTCTACAGGCAGAGAAATTGTAAAATCATGGGGTATATAATATGTGTAAACGGTGGTGTAATTATCCGCACGAAACGTCTGAACGGAAGCCAATTTTTTTTTCTATAAATCGAATTTTTGGGTTACCAATAGTTGGACTTTTCTGGATTTCTTATCTCTTCGTTCAAGAAATACAGCAGATGGGGTGTCTTATATAAATAACAATGTTCTACCATTGGTTTCCTGGTTTCATGTCTATCACTGAACTGTGGAAAACCTGTCGAACACTTCAACTGTTTAAGCAGTATCTATAAGTTTCTGAAATTTTTATCTCCAATTTTGAAGTATCACAAGCAGTTGCCAAAAAGTGGGTAAGTCTAAATGTCTATTCGGGTATGTAGTTGGTTGCACATGCATCTGTACGTCATAAAAATGTTGCCGAAATTAAACTGTAAGTACCATGCACCATCAAATGATGAGAGATTCGGATGAGTAGGAGAACACAGGGCGCTTTAAAAGTCAATCGGAAATAGGCGAGATTAGGTTCGTAAAACCCCTTCTGAGGTGTTAAGGGCTAGTTAGAGTCATATTAGTGGTAGAGACAATAGTTAAATGGAGCAGAGATAGACCTAGACTAGATTACTGTTCATAAATAGTTAAGGATGTGGCATCTTCCAGTTTCAAACCGAGCGGCATGGCCTAGAGGTCTAGACCATTGCTTAGCATTCGGGAGGACGCCGGTTCGATTCCGGGTCCGTCTGCCTTGGTCCAACTTTTTCTGTGGTTTCCTTGGATCACCTAGGCAAATGCTGAGGCAGTAATTATTTCACAGATAATCTTTCATTCTCTTCTGTCTTCATTTCGTCCGTCTTATCTTTCTCACCCGAACCACCACCCACCCATTCCCACGATTCCTGAAAGCAGGCTGAAGAGGGCCTTCCACCCTACCTTCCGGCGCATCCGGAAGGACTGACCGCCCACCAGCATTAATAGCTGGTGGGAATGAAACACCCAAAAGTTTTAGTTTTTCTAGTTTCAAGGAAATGCGAAAAT